CCCGCCACGCACCCGACACCTTTGCTCGGCCGAGAGCCCTGCGCCGGCCAAAGCCTTGCGGGAGGGAGAGAATAGGGCCAGGCCCCTGCCCATAGAGCGGCGTCGTAGCTGCAACCCTCACCGGCGCACAAGGGTCAGTTATTGCATGTGCCCTCTTTCAGCATCCGGACCCGTCCCTCTTTGTATACAAAATGAGTAAAATTAGTTGTAGCTTTTGTTTAATAGAGTTAGTTTATTTTGTACTAGCGGATTGATTTTGCGGGTCAAAGCGGGATGCCCATCTCGTATACAAAATGAGTAAAATTAGTTGTAGCTTTTTTTAATAGAGTTAGTTTATTTTGTACTAGCGGATTGATTTTGCGGGTCAATGCGGGATGCCCACCTCATATACAAAATGAGTAAAATTAGTTGGAGCTTTTGTTTAATAGAGTTAGTTTATTTTGTACTAGCGGATTGATTTTGCGGGTCAATGCGGGATGCCCACTTCGTATACAAAATGAGTAAAGTTAGTTGTAGCTTTTGTTTAATAGAGTTAGTTTATTTTGTACTAGCCGATTGATTTTGCGGGTCAATGCGGGATGCCCACCTCGTATACAAAATGAGTAAAATTAGTTGTAGCTTTTGTTTAATAGAGTTAGTTTATTTTGTACTAGCGGATTGATTTTGCGGGTCAATGCGGGATGCCCACCTCGTATACAAAATGAGTAAAATTAGTTGTAGCTTTTGTTTAACAGAGTTAGTTTATTTTGTACTAGCGGATTGATTTTGCGGGTCAATGCGCGACGCCCACGTGCATCCCTACCTCTTTCTCTCGGTCCCTCTCCCTAGCAGGATCTGCATGCACATGAAACGTATGAAGAGTCTCTTTCACGAAGCACATTGATGTTGTGTTGACTGCTATTTTCGCCAGCCCTGTATTTCCCAGATGTACCTCTTCATTCTGATTGCTTTTTAGTTCTTGAGTTAGTCAAATTTTTATTTCTCAGATACTAAAAGATGAAGCAACTAAGTAGAACTATGGCTATGCTGTTGCAACCTTCGTTTTCCTTGTCTGGCTTCAGCATGCCACGTTGTTTACATTTATCTACTTTTTTAAAATCCGCGAATCAAAATTGGTTCTTGTTTCACCTGCAGAACAGAAGAGATGCTGTGTCCATGTCGCTCTCGCAAATAAAGTTGCAACTTCATTCCGAAACAGAATAGGGGAACAAACCGCAAGTGACAGCGTATCAGAATGCAAGATTTATCATGGGAATAAAACAAGGTAAATACACCAGTGGTGCTTGAACTTGCCATGGATGTACACTTTAGAGCCTGAACTTGCAAAATACATTGAACTGGTTCCATAACTTGGCATGGACGTGCATATACGGTTCAAATGGCGTTTGTATACGTCCACGAAGCCGAAGAGGCGCGCCATCGTGCCATGAGGCCCGCTGTCATTGACAAGGGTGTGTGGCCTATTTTTTGTGGGGAAACCTCGGGAATTATTTTCTTACAATGAGGCCATTATGGCGAAACTGACAAATTATAAAATAAAAACTGGGAGTATAACTATAAGATACAAATTAAAACTGGTGTGCTGGATCAAACCAAGGACGTACCAGTCAAGTGCATGCCGCTAACCACTCGACAACTTCACATTTCCTGATATTTAATGATTCATAACTTTTATAAACACTTGGCCGAACAAAATAAATAGAAATAATCCAGCAAAAACAGCATCGGATCAGTGACCCAAACATCAGAACAAAGCTTGTAGACCAGGCACGGATGCACTCCGACCAATGAGTTGTCATGTATCAAAAGTACAAGTACTCTTTATGATTGTATAACAAACATAATTTCAAAATAATGCAATAATCTTTGTGTCATTTTAAAAATAATTCACGTGTTATTTTAAAACATATTCATTAAATTGAAAATATTTATGAATGAGTAAAATGTTTATATGATTCAGGTATTATTCATGTGAGGGTCCGCAGTCTAATGGCACACTAGGCTTGTATTTTTTCTAAAAAACACACAAACTTATATACTATATAAACTTTTTAAAACAACACAATTTTTTGTTAAAGCATGAACACATTGATATACTACATAAATAGTTTACTAAAAATGCAAAAAATTTAAAATTATATGCAAATTTATTTAAATATATGAACATTTCAAAATTACTTTAATATTTTTTATAGTTTTAAATAGCCGGCCATAGCCTCGCTATAGTTCTGCTATAGCTGTTTGAGCATGTTGCCGCTAAATGATTTCATGTACAATTTGCCGCTATAGCCTAGCTATAGCTGTTTTTAAGGGTCGCCGCTATATGCCATACCCTGCTATTTAGAACGTTGATTTTTTGAAATAAAAGCATCTTTTCAAATTATAAATTTTATTCTAATTCATAATTTTATTATGTGCATTTCTATTAAATTTCTGCATATGTATTTCATGAAATTATATGAACTTTTTAACATAATTTGTTTTACATATATGTATATTGTTTGTAACATGATAATAATTAACGTATTTTTTTGAATGAAATGAAAAAGAACAAACCCGTTGAAACTTGATCCACACTGTGGTCCATTTTAGTCACACGGGCTCGTTATATTACAGACCTAAATTTATCATTTTACCATTCGATGTCGTCGGTTATAGTGGTACGTGCGGCCGCTATATAGCCCCTGGTTGCAGGTTCAGAGCAATGGCACTATATTGCTGGAATAATATTTTTAATTTACATTGTTCAGCTTTATGTTTATAAAGTGTATGAATCCTTTCCTGACACTAAATTTGAACGGGTAGATTGGCTAGGCACGCACACCTGCGCGTGTGGTTCAAACCCCGGACCAATTTATTTTCTCTTTGAGGGCCTATTTGTAAGAAAAAAATTATTCTAGGGGGTTTCGGCAAAAAAAAACCAGGCCATACGCCTTGTCCCTTACATCCTGGAGTGCCTGTTGGCGTCATGGACGTATAAAAACAAGATTTGAACCGTATATGCACGTCCATGCCAAGTTATGGAACCAGTTCAATGTATTTTGCAAGTTCAGGCACCAAAGTGCACATTCGTGGCAAGTTCAAGCACCTGTGATGTATTTACCTCGAATAAAACCCATCTGCTGCAGATGTAAACACCAGAAATCTGGATGGGTTTCCTATTATAGACACATCAGCTGAGAAACTGAAATGAACAATTTCTATGGGTATCATAGCATAAGCTGAAGCCAGAAACTAGCAAAATCAAATAGTCTACTTTTTTCAGTTTTCATAACCAAAAGGCGATCTTAGCCCCATGTCCTGACAAAAGAGACAAAAATATCTAATGGTTGTCTAATTTTCCACAGAAAGATGCGAGGAAAAACAACACCACTCTTCTCTGAAAGCTTTATATATAAGAAAATTATAAGCAAGGAGAAGTTCCTCGTATTACAATCATCTCATACTCTCTGCAACAAGCCTCATCTTCACCGCTGGCAATTTAGTCCAGTGCTTCAGCGACCAGACCCTCCATCTCGTAAACCGTCATAGCGTCGTCTATATAACTGATGCCACGCGTACCATCTGTCTCAAGTCTCAACTCTTCCAATCCGCGGAAGTAACTGTGAGATCACATCATCAAAAATACAGCTCAGCAAATTGCAAACTGCGTAGATGGTGGTGCTATTTTAGATAATGCGTCACTCTGTTTTTTGTGGTTCAGATCGTGACATATTTGTAGACAGCCACGTCAGATGGGTAAACTTAAAATGGGGCTGGGTAAACTTGAAATCTGCAGGAATTTCGTATGGAATGGGAAATTCAAATGTGGAGAGGCTTCCTTTCAGTTCCAAAATAATGTTACAGCTATTGCTCTATTCTCCTGCTAGTCAGGGTGGAAAAAAGGCAACCAGGATAAACATAAGCTAAATGATCGAGGATGTTTCTGAAGATTAGAAAAAGCGAAAAATGAACCGCTGAGAATGGGTCAGCCCATTCTAGCATGAAGCTGGAAGTGGACACAAGCCATGGGAAAAAAAAACTAAATTAACCAGTGTTGCGGCACACTAGTACTTCCTTGCTTGATTCTTGATTCTATATATCTAAGATCATTCGTTCATTACTGCCAAGTCCAGGATACTATCACAACTTCCTTCCAATTTGAGAAAGTATCAGACCTCTGCGAAGGAACTTCCGGGGTTTTGGCATGTATATTTTCAAACTGTCACTGTGAACTGTAACTGTGATTCTGCCAATACAAGCAAACCTAATATGTTGGGCGCCAGACAGCTAACCAAGCACGTGCCGATAGCACTCCACAGATAGATAATCATCGAATAGTTGGGCACTTTTAGCGGTAGATAGGCTGAAGCAGTAGATAGGTACACTGACATTTTGATGAAAGTGGTCCAACACACACCCCATAAGTCTCAAGAAGTGAGACTCCAGAAGTTCTAATGCTTATCAAGAACCTACCGGTAACCACCTGGTATTCTGCTATTTCAGTACCAAGGACAATGACTACTATTCATGCAAGCATATCATCAGTTTTGTTATCTATAAGCTACCACAAATCTCTGTAAAATATTTTCCCCCATCTTGCAGATTGTAGCTCTGTAGAACACTACAATTTGCAATTCGCAGAACAGATTCTTACCAAGGTTAAAACAGATCAGTGTCATCCTTGCATCTTCCACAAGGTTTTATACACATTCTCAGCATATATTATAGAGTAGCAAAACTATAAAGGAAAATTTTGAATAAGCATGGTGTGAGTGCAGGCATGCATTAACATTTGGATCATACTCCCTCCGTCCGGAATTACTTGTCGCTCAAATGGATGTATCTAGAGTACATATATAGACAAGCAAAGAGTCCAACCTCCCTCCTACTTAGTAATTACTCCCTCTTGTAAACTTTTATAAGACGTTTTAGGTCACAAAGGGAGTATTTTCTAGCTAGATACTCACAGCGATAGTAAGCAAGGAGACCATCAAGAAGAAGCACCAGTGCTAGCTCCCCTACAGCCCTCGGAGAAAGCGTGGCAGCCTCACACGGCTGCCATCTTTCCTCTGGAAGAATGGATGCCTGACTAGGCTCTCTTTGAAAGAGATCCCGAGAAGCTTTGGATCAACGTTCTCCCATAGGAATTTCTGGATCAAGTCGCCCTTGTTGTCACAGTGAAACAGGGAGAGGGACCAACAAATGCGACCGATTAGCAGCATATCTCCGTTCTCAGACACAACCTTGCCGTATAGACACTGAACACATTTACCATCTTCCATCATCTCCTCCTCCGGCAATTCCGTCCGGTACTTTGATGACCATACTTCTGCCTCGTAGTCCTCCAACACCCACGCTTTCGCGGTCATGGTAGCCGTATCTATGCAGCCGATGCCGAGCATACCATCCATCTGAAGCAGATGTGCCGAGCTGGTGGCTGTGGGAGATTGCGCCCAGCTGAATGACTCTGCCACCGTGTCGAAAATTACTATCTTGCTGTTGAAAGCATGCCAATGTAGGCAGCCATGTAGCAGGAGAGGCGGGTGCTCGGAGGCTTGAAGGTGCCACCAGGACCTGTCCTTGTTCATGGATGGCGAGGCCACTGGCAGCCCGATGCATCGCTGTTGTCCCTGGAACGAGCTGACGGTGAGGACGTAGTAGGCGACCCTGCAGCTCTTGTTGTCTGGATACTTCCAGAAGAGGACACGGTAGTCGCCCGACGGGCGGTGAGGGTACAGGGCCGCGACACTGCCGCCGGTCAGATCCGGGAGCTGGAGCCACTGGCGCGTCGCCGGGTTGCAGATGTAGAAGCGGTGGTTGGAGAGGGAAAGGAGGAGGAGCCCGTCGCAGGAGGCGTGGATGGTGAAGCTACGTCGCTCTTTGTTGTAGTCGTCGAACCCGAGGACGGGCCGGCGAGCGGCGGGGGTTCGCCGGATATCCAAGGCATCAACCACGGCGTGGGCGGCGTAGTCGTTACTCCTGGTGCGGAAGAAGACCAGCGGGAGGGATGGCTGGCGGCGGTGGTGGGCCATCAGGAACGCGGCGTCGGAGGCGAGGCGACGCCAGGAGCGGCAGGCCGCGCGGCAGCGGAGGAGCTCCTTCGCCGGCACGCGGACGAGGATTTCCCACTGGACGACCTCGTCAGGGAGGGGGGCGGGGACGGCGGCATGGTCGCGCCTGCGCGGCGTCCCGTTCACCACGGATCCAGCGCCGCCGCCAGCCATCGCAGGTGCTCGCCGGCGACGGCGAATCTTAGGGTTTGACCTGAATTTTGGGCTGCTGCGGCGAGGCCTGGTGGAAAATTGGGCAAATATGATTTGCACGAATATTAAAGTGCCAACCAACGGTGGATTAAGCCCTCTCGCAACTTACTTGATGCATTTTTAGTTAGTTTTTATTTATTCATCAGTCGTAAAGGCTTCTTCAATAGTCTCATCACCTAGGTTGATTGTTTATCATTCTCCCTTTGACACTTTAACCAATATTACCATTTTTCTTATCTGAAGAGACGAATCTATGTGTCAGGATGATGTGGTAGCTGGCTCGACCACAACCCAGTCTTCTTCGGAAGGGATATTTAAGCACTATACGCGTGACACATATGGTAAGCAATCCAAACTATTTAAGAAAAATATATAATGTAACAATCAACTGCAAGAGTTACATGATGAAAGGGGCAAGGATTGTCCAAATCAGGTAAAGAAGTCATGGTTAAATCGATTATCCGAGCCCAACCAACGTATCCTATGAGTTGCTTGCTTTTGTTTCCCCAAAAAACTTGGCAAGAGTCTATCATTGATTTCATCCATTTTATGTATCAGGTCAGGTAGATTCTGAACCCTATAAGATAATTTTCAGAATGGAACCGAGGTATGTGTGATACATCTCCAACGTATCTATAATTTTTGATTGTTCCACGATATTATATTATCCGTTTTGGATGTTTATGAACTTTACTTTACACTTTTATATCATTTTTGGGACCAACCTACTAACCGGAGGCCCAACCCAAATTGCTGTTTTTTTTGCCTATTTAAGTGTTTCGAAGAAAAGGAATATCAAACGGAGTCCAAACAGAATGAAACCTTCGGGAGCGATCTTTTTGAAACAAACGCAATCCAGGAGACTTGGAGTGGACGTCAAGAAGCAGCCGAGGCGGCCACGAGGCAGGAGAGCGCGCCATAGGGGGGTGGGCGCCCCCCACCCTCGTGGGCCCCTCGTGGCTCCCCTGACCTACCTCCTTCACAC